TCAGCGGCAAAGCACCTGCCTGGCAAGCGCAAGGTCGTGAGTTCGGTTCCCGGTACCGGAGAAAAACCAAAAAAAAAAAAAAAAAAAAAAAAAAAGAAATGAAATTGTATTTGGAACAGTACAGATAGATGAAGGCTGAAGAAGCCTAAAAGCGTGACACACAGTGACATTAGCAATGTACTGAAAGTTTAGACATTTTAAAAGAATAACATGGATTTAAGAGTTACAGCTCAGTGGCACAGTACCTACCTGCCTGGCAAGTGCAAGGTCGTGAGTTCAATTCCTGGTACCAAAATAAATTAAAAAAATAAAATGACCTTTGCAGCCCAGGTGACTAGGCATGTGGAGGAGGCTATAAACAGGTTTGTGAGCTCAGGGCGAAGGCCATGCCCAGGGCATGAGGCTCAGGAAGCCCTTGGCTGAAGCCCTTGGCTGAAAGCCCTTTGGCTGAAAGCTATTCTGTTGGCTTTGAGGGCGACCTGATACTTTGCTCCACTAGGAGATCTGACAAAATGAATTTCAAGAGTAACCCCTTAGTAGTGTCACGGACAGAGATTTCTGTCCCTGTCACATGAAAATGTGATATAAAAATTGCTACTAAAGACCCTATAATTTATACTTGGGTGGAAACAAAAATAGCAAGGAAATACCTTTGGTTTGTTTCTATGCAGTGAATCCAGTCATTTATTTCTGGAACTTGTTGAGTCTTTTTCCACGTATATATACAAATCTTTCCGCACTCTAATCCAACTGCCACCACATACCTGCTTTTAAAGAAGGGGGAAGACTGCAATTAATTTAGCATGAATTCCTGTTATCTCCATCATCACTCTAAGGTAGTTCTTCACAGTGTCACAACAGTCCCTGGCTTACAGTTGTGCTGTGTGGCTCTAATGTGTCCTCAGGAACCTGATCTGCACAGAGGCTGCACACAGGAGCTGTTATTTTCCCAGCTGGCTTCAGGGACCCCTGTTCTACTAAAGATGCTTGTTACAGAGAAAGGACCACAGTCCTGCAGGTGTGAAATTAATAGCCTTCCCACCCACACTTCTAATATGTATTTCACTAATCTGATCTACTGGGTTCCATCAACGTAAAAATTCTTATGAGAAACATTAGCATTTTGAAAATAACAGTAACTTTCAAGCAAAAAGAACACATGAATCAAAATAACTGAGAAAGCAAGTGGTCATCTTAAATGAAACATCAAACCAAGCCCCACGCAGAGACTAACCGCTGGGAAGGGTTAAGCACTGGGCAGACACTGACAGCTGTCACAGCCCCGCCCACATCCAGGACTGAGGAGCAGGGGCCGATGCTGTGCTCGATGGAGTCATCGCTGGGGTCACACTCACCCCATACCACCACCTAACAAAGAGAGCACACTTGTAAAGCTTCCTTTTGGCAAAGTTTTTAGGCAATGTATGAAGAGAGTTCCAATGGATAGTGAAAAGTATCTACTCTAATATATAAAAACCTGCATTTATATTTGTGTACAGCATCCCAGAACTTCAGAGCACTTCAAGCACCACAGAGAAGCCACAGTGCGGCAGACACGAGGCTCTTGAGACCTCAACTACCAACGTGATGGTCCGCAGATGGACTGCTGCCACCCAGAGACCATAAGCACATCTAGTATTGCTTCACACAAACCAATTGTGAGTCACTGAAATCACATCCATCACATTCTTACTAAAAATTATCACAAAATTTATGGAGGCAGACCAATCAAGCTAGAGACCAATCAAATCTCTAGCTTTTTTTCTACCCTACCCATGCTCAGGGAACTCAGATATTAGGAGAACCTAACCTTAATATTACCCCTCATAAGAAATGAGGTTTTCCTGAAAGTTCATGCCTCAAGGGTGTGTGACTGATCAGGCAGAAAAGGAGAGGAAAGTGAAACAGGAAGCAGGTGCAAGGTTCTGAGGAGAAAGCTCCGACCCATCAAGCACAGACACACTTCTGACAATGTTGAAAGGTGTCTATTCTGCTTCAGCCCCGATACGTCTCTGAGTGCTGTGGTCGAGCCGCCATCTACCAGCCATGACTGTGGAAAGCAGGAGTCCTACTTCCTCAGCACCTGGCTCAGCATAAGCAAAAACATGAGGAAAGAAATGAACAGGCAAATGAGCAGAAGTGATGGTCAGGGAGAAAAATGCTGAGAAGCTGGCACTGAAGTGTTTAACCTGAGTGGAACGATACCCACACCAGCCCTCTGCTGCAGTAATTTGCATAACGTCTATGACTGGGAGAGGAAAAGAAATGCTGAATTGTCACAAGGGCTTCCTAGCTTCACGCCCTACCATTCTGCAAAACTACAGAAAAAGTAGAGGTTGAACACAGTATGATTAAACGGCATGGAAACACGGAAGGACAGGCCAGGTAGATATTGCCCAGAGAATTAGAGTGAAGGTCATATTCAAGAACATATAGCTAACTTGTTTTTCTTTATTCAAGTTTAGGTCACACTCTAGGCCTCCATTCTACTACTGAGTAAAAAGGTCATTAGCAAAAGTTAGAGAAAAATATTTAAGTTCATGAAAGTATAAATCAGAAAAGTAGAAATTATTTTTACCCTTATGTTCCCTCCTCCCCTTCAAGTTTCTTAGTTTTGACTCATTTATACCCTTCTCCCACGGAACTATTTGATGAAGGAAATGTGTCTGAAAGGTTTTCTCTGTATATTTGCATTTTAGAGAAATACACCTAGAGAATTTAACAAGTTTTTTTTTAAAAAAAGACTTTTTAAGTATGTATATGAAAAACAGAAGGGATTTCATGAATTGATTTTTTAAAATTGTGTAAAGCAGAATTATGTAATCTTTTATTCCATCATACCTATAGAAATGTTATTTTATATTTGCATAAATATTAAATTGAAAGAAAATTACCTTTTTGTCTCGACTCCCAGTGAAGAAATACTTGCTGTCAGGACTCCAATCACAAGACCAAATAATTCTACTGTGCACAGAAGTGACTTTATTGGTGAAGGCAAAGAGACTGAAAATTGGATCTGAAAAAAAATTATGTACACCCCACTCACAAAGTAGAAAGTTTACCGGTGAGAAAGCTCTGTTTCGATGGAAAACACCTCAGAAGACTGAGTAATCAATTTACATATGCTTGCTTTTGGCAACAGACTGAAGCCAGGCAACTGACCTCTCAGCAGAAGGCTGTGGGAACGTAGTAATTTGGGGGCTATTTTTGTATTTCTTGGTCACTCTAGTGGTTGATGACAAACATCTCCCAGTAAACTAACGGTTCAACTTATGACTATGGAGGAAGTCTGAAGCAATTTAAACTTACTCTGGAAGTAGCCAGATCTGCATACTGGGCTATGTGAGAAAAGATTAATGGACTGCTTAAATGTTAGAAAGAGAAAAACATTTTTTAAGAAATATTTTCCTGCTAGGCATGCTAGCACATGCTTATAACCCCAGCACTGGGAGGCTGAGGCAGGAGGACTGCCATGAGTTCAAGCCCAGCTTGGGTTACATAGTGAATTCAAGGCCAACCTGAACTATACAGTGAGACCCCACCTCAAAAAAAAAAGAAAGAAGAAAAAGAAAGAAAGAGAGAGAGAGAGAAAAACCAAGACATATTTTCCTCATAGGAGGTAAATATAAAGTAACTTCTATGCCTTATATGGACTAAACCTAAAACACATAACTGCTTTATTAGCACTTTTATTAATAGCACTTTAACTTCTAAAAAATACACGTTAGGAAACCACTAGCGATGCAGAAGAAAATACTAATGTTCTTCAACTTACAACAGTAAGTTGAAAATATTAAGTAAAAAATACGCTTAATACACTCACCCTGCCAAACCTCACAGCTCAGCCACACAGTACGCTGCACAGTACTCACTGTTTCTCTCGATGAGCATGTGAAGCTGCAATCTGCTACCACTGCCCAGCATCAGACCCCATACACAGCCAGCACAGGAAAGGATCAAAATTCAAAATCTGAAGTATAATTCCTACCGAATACATATGACTTCTGCACCATCACAAAGTCAAAAAAACCCTAAGTTAAACCATCACGAGTCAGGTATCATCTGTAATCTATTCTAACATACACTGCTGTGCGAATTCTGTAATTCCTATTCTCTGAAACATAATAAAGGATTAGAAATATCACAACTTCAAACTGTATGCAAGTCATATGAATGGAAGTCTTTGTCTTCACTCTGTTATCTATTTCCCTTAACCCAACAGCTGCTTAACATGTACGTAACTATTCCACTGATAATCTTCCCAATCAGAAGTTGCTTTACTGAGCCAGTATGGTGGCACACACCTGTCATCACAGCACTTGGGAGGCTGAGGCAGGAGGATCCCTGCAAATTCAAAGCCAGCCTACACTACAAAGCAAGACTCTGCTTCAAAAAATCAAAAAAAGAAGTTGCTTTACCGAACTCAGGTGAGATTACATCCTGCCTTTTCCACAGTGACCAGGTTCGGTCTCTGGAAACAGCAAGTAAGAATTTGTCATCAGGTGAGAAGGCCATCTGCGTGACAGTGAGACTGTGGAAAACTAAATTCTGCACCTGTTTCCAGGATGCAGTGTTCCAAAGAATGATAGCTGCATGCTCTTTCTTGGCTGCCTGCAAGACAGAGATGAAACAATGATGCTATTAATTTAACTAGAAATAAACCAAAAAAAGGAAACATTTTAAAAAATAATATATTATTCAATTGTAAAAAATGCAAAGCTGGTTTATCATTTTTTTAATGGCCCATTTAGCTGTAGTGGTACACACCTATAACACTTGCACTCTGGAAGGCTGAGACAAGAGGATCACACATTCAAACCCCTGCCTCAGCAATTTAGTGACTTAATGAGTCTATCTCAAAATAAAAAAAAGGGATGGAGGTATATCTCAGTGTGAAGGTCCTTGGTTCAATCCCCAGTAATGCACACACACACAAATGATAACACGGAAGTTAAAAATCATTCAATGTAATTTATAAACAAAAGCAGGAGATAGAAGAAAGGAAACAAATGACAAAATTTTAACATCTATTCCTGATAAACTCTGTGAAAAGTAGAAGCTGTACACCATTTCTGCAGCCAGAGAAAGAAGTCATGAATTAGCCAGGGATATAGCTCAGTGGCACAGTGCCTGCCTGGCAAGCACAAGGTCCTGAGTTTGATTCCTGGTACAAAAAAAAAAAAAAATCATGAAAAAGTTATACAAACATCATTCTTTTTGTTGTTGCCAATTTGTTTTGTTTTGTATTTTTGAGACATGTTCTCACCATGTAGTTCAGGCTGGCCTTGAACTTGCTATGTAGCCCAGGCTGGCCTCAGCCTTGCAGCGATCCTCCTGCCTCAGCTGGGATTACAGGTGTCCGTCACGATGCCCAGCTATACACATCATTTTTAATGGACAAACACTAAATGTTTTGTTCCTGATATGAAGACCAATGCAAAGACTTCTGCTGTCACCACTTCATTTGAATATTAAGACATTCATATGGGAAAGGAAGAAATAAAACTTTTCATTTATAGGCAATATATGCATCTATGTGGAAACCCTACAATAAAGCTACTAGGACTAGTAAATCCACAAGGCTGCAGACAGAAGATCAGTATGCAAAAAGCAACCGTATTTCCATACGTAAGTCATGAGCAATAAGATATAAAACATAAAAGAAGATATATCTGTAAAATGTGTACAAAACCCAACACTGAAAACTGTAAATATTCTCAATAATGCTAAAATGTTAACAATGGAAAAAGCTAGGAGATAGAAATATGAACATTCTAGGTAGTAATCTCTGCAATTTTTCTTTAATTCTAAAGCCTAGCATGCTGGTACACACCTGTAATCCCAGCACTAGGGAGGCTGACGCAGGAGGATCACCGTGAGTTCAAGGCCAGCCTGAACTACATAGTGAAACTGTCTCAAAAAACTAAAATAACACTATAGCTTAGCCATTTTATATTCTGTATTTGTTGCTATTTTGTAGAAATAAGTGTTATTTTGTTAAGCTTGGATCCCTCCCCCATGTTTTAATTAAAGAGAAATGAAGTTAAAAGCAAAAAAAAAAACTAAAATAAAATAATTTGTTTTAAAAAGGATAATTTCTGAGAGAAATTAAAGACCTAGTAAGTAGGAATACTTCACTCACATGTCAAAATACTCAATATTAGTAAAATTCCCTCCAAACAGATGTACAGATTGAATGTAATCTCCATAAAATTTCTGCAGTCATGTTTTTGTAGAAACTGTCAAGCTGATTATAAAATAAAAAGTAAAGGACCTAGAATAGCCAAAAATAATTTAAAAAAGTAAGACTCAAGTTGGAAGTCAATTTCTACTGAGTTTCAAGATGTATTATAAAACTATCATTATTATAAATTATAGTATGGCACAATCCCAAGACATTTCAGTGGAACAGAATAAAGCCTAAAAATAGGCCCATACCTATATGGCCAGCTTACTTTGAATAGAGTGGGGAAAGAAAGCCTGTTCAGTGGCAAAGGAAAGTCTCTTCAAGCAGTGATGCTGGACAACTAGATATGTACATGAAGGAAATTAACATGCATCTGTACTCCACATCAAAATGTAAGAATTAAAATAAAATGTTTTCCTAAGTTTAAATGTAAAATTTACAAACTATAAAAAACTCTTAGTTCAAAATGAAGCAGAAATTCTTTGTGACCTTGATTTAGGCAAAGATTCCTGGCATACAACATGAAAGGTAGAACCCAATATAGAAAAAAAATGGTAAGTTAGGTTTCACCAAAACCTAGAGCTTTTGCTCTTAGATGTTATTAGAAATGAAATGACAAGCCATGGGAACACATCCATCTAGCACGTATCTGATGAAGCTGTACCCAGGGAACATAAAGGACTTTCTGTAACTCAGTAATAAGAAAACCCAATAAAAAAATGGTGAACACATATTTCACCAAAGATACATGGATGGCTAATTAGTACACAGAAAAAATGATTAATATAATCACTAGAAAAATGTAAACGATAGCCACAACAAACTATTACATACCTACTAGAGTAGTTAAAAGTAAAATGACTGACCATACCACCATGCTGGTGGGTGCAAAGCAACTGGGAATGAACACACTGCTCGTGGGACTGTAAAATGCATAACTACTTTGGAAAACAGTCTGAGAAAATCTTAAAAATTTTAAAGTACATCTACCATATCACCCGAAAATTCCACATATAGGCATGTGCTGAAGAAATATAAAATAGCCAGCCATGGTATTGTATGCCTGCAATGCCAGCACTCAGGAGGCTGAGACAGGATGATTGCTGCAAGTTTGAAGCCAGCCTAGGATACAGAGTGAGTTCAAGGCCAGCCTGAACTACACAGTGAAACCCTGTCTCAAAAAAAAAGAAAGCATGTACCCATACTCATGCAAAGCATGTACCCATACTCGTATATTCGTGCAACATGTGTACACACATGTTCCTAACTAGTCTCTTGGTAAAAGCCAAGCTCTAGAAAACAAGCGAAATCTCCATTAGTAAGTAAACAAATCAATAAACTGTGGTATACCTACAAAGGGAAATCTACTCCACAATAAGGAATGGACTACTGATATATACAACAACATGGATGAATCCCAAATAACTATAAGGAAAGAAGCCAGACCCTCTCTTTCAAAAGAATGCATACTATATAAATGGAATATGTTAGAAAATGGAATCTACTCAATCACAACAAAAAGCAGATGTCTTAGGCAAAGTCTCTCATTGCTGAGACAAAATACCTGACATCTAAAATTAAGGAAGGAAAGGTTTATTTAGCTCACAGGTTGTGGAGTTTTCAGTCCATAACGAGCTGCTGCCAAGACAGGGTGGCATGACTGAGGGGCAATAGTTCAAGATGGCAGAAGACAGTAAAAGCAACCAGAACAAAAAGGGGAGAACAAGCCTCTTTTCCTCTCTTATACTGTAAGCAGGCTCCCCGCCCACACCATCTCTGTGCCTTCCTCTTGCGCAGGATGTTTACAAAGTGAGGACCTTGGCCCCCTGCTAAGTCATTTACTTCTAAACTTCTCAAGCTGACACAATCTATCAACCATTACAACAGATTAGAGGTTTCTAAGGATAGAGGGTGGGGTGGGGAGAATGACAGTGGAGATGAGACCCACAGGAAAAAGGGATTATCGAGAGGCATAATAAACTGGGTAATTTTCATTATTTTGATTGTGGTGGTGATTTTACAGGTATGAATACATGTCAAAATTTATCAGACTGTCTTGCATAATAAATATGCAATTTAAAGTATGTTAATGGCACCTCAATAAAGGTTTGTGAAATGTTAATTTAGAAAGATGCACATACTTTCATATAGCACTCACTTACTATAAGTGAGGCAACATGAAAAGGGATAACCAGTACCATGATAATCAGTGCCCTAAACTAAAAACAAAGCTACTCAGTAGAAACAACCATTTGAGCTACTGAGCCCCATTCTTCCCAACAGTCCCTATAATTCCTAGAACAAAGTACAGCTGGCCCTTGAGCAACACAGGTTTGAACTGCATGGGTCTCTTATACACAGGTATCTTTTGAAGATTTGCAACAATTTGAAAAAAACTGAAGACAAACTACATAGCTAAGAAATAATGAAAAAAGTCAAGAGAAAGTGATGTCATGTTTGCATAAAATATTTGAGGACAACAGACTCACTCATATGTTACTATTGACAATATACACAAATCCGTTATAGAATGACTACTGTAATGTAGTAACTTTATGGACATCCCCTGTTGCCATTGTAAGGAGTGAAAGTTATTGTTATGGCCTAGATCTGAAATGTCCCCCAGGTCGGGCATGGTGGTACATGCCTGTAATCTCAGCACTTGGGAGGCTGAGGCAGGAGGACTGGCATGAGTTCAAGACCAGCCTGGGCTAGAGTGAGTTTGAGGCCAGCCTTTTTATTTTGCCTCAAAATAAAAATAAATAAAATAAAAAATAGAATATCCCCCAAAAGTTCCACATTTGGAGGTGAGGGCTGGTCAGAAAGGGCAGGTCACCAAGGTGTCATGACTTAGAAGGGTGTGTTCTCCACCCTGGCTCCTCCTCCCTCGCTCTGCTTCTTGGCCACCATGGCATGAGCTGTCCTCCTCTGCTATGCACTTTCACCAAGCTGTTTCTGCCTTGAAGCCATGTGAACATCAATGGAACCCACTGAAACTGAACCCAAATAAACTTCTCCACACTGAAGTTGCAGTTGTTGGATATTTTGTCCTAGTGACAGGAAAGACAAATACAGTTACCTATATGGGCTGAGATGTAGCTCAGTGGTAGACCCCTTGCCTACCATGCATGAGGCCCTGGGTTCAATTCCCAGCAACATACACACAGAAAGTTATATGCAGATTTTTCAACGGTGCACAGGGCCTGGCATCCCACCCCTGCGCTGTGCAAGGGTCAACTGTACAGTATTTAAAAACAAAACTGTACAGCTGAAATAGATTTAAAATGCAACCACAACCTTGTGAGAGGACAAAAGGAAGACAGCTTGAAAAAGTATGATTCGAAAAGCAGACACTACCGATCTTTCATGTAGAGTTCTCTTTGAATCTTTACCAAACCTGCAGGAGTTTGATGACCCAAATAACCCATGATCAAGTAGAATTAAAAGTGAAACTCCCTACCTTGCAAGCTGAGGCAAGCAGAGTCTTTGAATTATTACAAGTAACAGAAAATATTTCATAGCCATGTCCATATCTAAAATTTAAAAAAAAATGCATGAGCTCTATATTAGTAAATATATCTATTCTCATACTACAAAAATTTAAAAAGCAGAAAGATTAACATCAATCTCTCTAGTTAACACATATTTCTTTTAAAGATTACATTTTTGTGGAGGCAACCATTTGGGGGAAAAACAAGGAGGCTAGAGAAAAATGCCAGTTTCTTAAAAGTAATACAGGTCATTCACAATCAGACTAACATACACGTTTTTACCTCCTACTCTCATCCAGCCAGTACAATAAACCATCATGGAAAAAACTTGATGCAAACCGCCAAAGACAAAAAAAAGACCAGTTAGAAGGACAAAGCTTATGTCTTTTTTAAAAAGAAAATATGAGGGGCTGGGGATTTAGCTCAGCGGCAAAAGCGCCTGCCTGGCAAGCGCAAGGTCGTGAGTTCAGTTCCCGGTACCGGAGAAAAAAAAAAAAAAAAAAAAAAAAAAAAAAAAAAAGAAAATATGGTATGCCTGTCTACTTTAAAAAGTAAGACCAATAAGCCTAACATAAATAGGAATATAAAAACCAATGGGAGGTTTGATTCTCCTCCCTTTGAAGGGCTACTGAAGAGATCTATAAAGCAGGAGGAAAATGCAGGCAGAAGGAAAAGCACAAAAATCAAATTGAAGCACAGTGTGGCAGTACACACCTATAATCATCAGGAGGCTGAGGCAGGAGGATCATTGGAAGTTCGAGATCAGCCTGGGCTACATAGTGAGTTCCAGGCCAGACTGAACTACATAGTGAGACTTTGTCTCAAAAAAACAAAAAATAAACAAACAAAAAATCAAGCTGACGGGGAGGCACATATTATAATAGAAACAGATCAAACAGCATAATTTAACTTACAGTTTTTGAACTTCAGGCCACAATGTATTCTGTAGAAGATGATCCTCAGTGGGAGGTTCTATAATAAATGGACAGTATTCCAGTTATTTTTTCTATTTTTAGACCAAAAAACAGGAAAATCTATAGCACTTATTTAGATCAGCAGTTATATATCACACTGTGTGTACTATGATTTCATTAAATCATGTTTCTGTCATTTCTTACCAGTAAGCAAGGAGGGTTGGAAGGGTAGCTGGTGATACTCAAAACCAGTACTAGTGAATAGCTCTTGCTCATCAGAAGGCTGAGAAGCTATATCTCCTAGTGTAAAGAAACACACCATCATGAACGGAGTCACCATCTTTATGTCACTTATACCATCTCAGTACTAAGGCTATCAGCCATGAGAAGGCAGCAACACCTCAAAATGGCATATTTCAAAGCTGTATCCACATGACTCCAAAGCCAAAGTCATTCCATTGCTCCAGTACTTTCCAAACAAGCTCTTAGAAACATTAATCGATTCCATAAAGATTCCTGCCATTTTCTTTGACCTAACAGTTCACAAACTTCTTAGACTACACAACAGATTGTCAAGGTTGCCCACATTCACATGTGGTTGTAGTGTTCTGTAAATCACTTTGTGAGAGCTGTACCTACTTTAGTGTTCTACAGGTGTAAACAGAATTCTTATCACAAAATATCTGATGAAGATGCATGTGTTGCTATCTAAAAAAAAAATCTTCAGTAGGAAACATTAGGCATATCGTATAGTCTGTTAACTAGATTGTGGTTTTTTTTCTTTTTTTGAGACAAGGTTCCACTATGCAGTTCAGGCTGACCTTAAACTCACTTTGTAGCCCAAGCTGGCCCCAAACTCACAGTGATCCTCCTGCCTCAGCCTCCTGAGTGCTGGATTATGGGTATGCACCATCATGCCCAGCTGTAACTAGGTTTTAAGTACCACTATGAGTCTAATAATTTTTCAGAACACAATCTTACCCTGAAAGACAGCTTTATTTGATAATCCCAATGCAGGGACAGTAGCTCCTTCTGGAAGATCACTGTCTTGCTAGAATAAGAAATAAGATATGTAAGTTTTAAAGTTACTGTTACCTCAAGTACTGTAAAAGGCATGCTCACAAATGCTGAGAAACTATTTCAAGACATCCTTGTATGGACACACACCCACTGTTCTACTTCCCCATCAAGAGATGCAATGCTGAGCAACCACTCTCCAACAGACAGGCCCTAACCCCTAACCCCCACCTAATCCATGGTCAGTCGCCCTGTCATCCACGAGCTCATTAAATCCTACGGCTCCACGGTTTTCAGGTTCTGTCAAGAAGGGCAGGAGGGTGGAAACGGAAAGCCCCATCTCCTCCTCCAAGAAGGCCTCGCAGGCATATCTTTGATAATGATCCTACAAACACAGATGTTTCCCAGAAAGGGAGAGTCATGGTATTTTCATTAAACATATGTAAATAACTGAAAACTGTATTTTGAAGAGGCAATACTTTGATTCTGAAATTTAAAGCAATCAAGTTATTACATGTGAAACCATATGCTAGCCATCAAAACTGGCACAAGACCATATGCTAAGAGTGTTTCTTACAATTTAAACTTTAGTACTGAAACTAAACACAAGCGTGAGTAATGTGAGTTTAAACCACCATTAAGAATGGCTACCTGGGCCATAAGGAACTGCATACTTTATCTCTGAAATCAAGAAAAAGAGTGGAAAAGAGCAATATACATTGCCTATCCCAATATGGCTATCCCAATACTTAGTGTGGGAGCAAAGCCTGGAAGAGAACAAGAAATTTTCTAGTCTACAGAGTTACTGCATCTTGTGACACAAAACTGACTGTACACCTGGGATTGAGCCTTTTGTAGAATCTCATGTGTGGTGGATTCACAACTGGTGGTAAACTCGTAACACCCAGCTGAACTGAATCAGCCTGGTGCTGGGAGTGAAGGCCCCGCCTGAGGATTGTTGCCAACAATATAAAAAGGACAACTGGAGGGGAAGACAGGGGCTGTTGGTTCTCCTGGAGGAGTTTGTCACGCTAGGTTTCCTGGTATGAACTCAGCTGTTCTCACTCCTGGAGGAGCTCGAGACCTTGTTGTCACTGAGAACGGCTAGGTTTCACTGTGCGGGAGCTCCGGTCCTTCGAGCACCACTTCCTGGCTCTGGAGGGGAAGATGGTGTGCCATTGAATCCCCTAGAGAAGCTTGTCGTACTGGCTCTCCTGATATGAACTCAGTTGTTGTCATTGTCAGAGGAACTCAGGACCTCGTTGTCACTGGGGATGGCTGTGGTACTTTTTAGGAGAGCTCTGGTCCTTACTTTGAGTGTTGCTTCTTGGCTCCAGTGCAGATATCTCAGCCTGCTGGCACAGATTCTTTATCCCATTGGCACAGACTTTCTAGCTTCTACCACTGACCTTTGATCCCAGTGCAGATCCTTGAAACAGGCCTGAATGACACATTATCGTGGGCTCTAGGCCTCCAGTTGGACTCATGGCAGGCACTGCCATGGGCTCTGGGTCTTCAGCTGGACTCATGCAGGACACTGCTGTGAGATCCAGGCTCTCAACTGGATTCTTTGGGTCTCTAGTGTTTGGACAGATCTCCTGCACTTTTGCATTTGACTCTTTGGGTGAATACTATAAAATAATCCCATAAATTATGTGTCCTGTATTAATTCCTTTCCCTTGCAAACCCTGACTGTAACACCATGAAACTTCAATTCCTAGAATTAAAGAGATCCTAAATACAACTTCCCCTCCACACCCATATGCTAAGTTCAGTAACTACAAACAAGACTTCCCTTTGGCTCTCATTCCCACTGTCCATTACTACTAGAAACAAGCAGAACACAATCTTAAACCCTTTCAGCGTAATTAAGAAAGCTCATGGCATGAAGCACATGTACTCCAGCAAATGTACCTAAAAACTTCATTTCAAGTCACTCATTTTCTTCTCCTGGCTTTCCCAGAAAGTGCATTTCACTTTCTTCAGTCTCCAGACTCTCAGGTAACTCTCCTTGTCCCAAAATGTTTTTCACCACAGTCTGTGTGGGGGCTCCCAACGGCACCCTAGTTTGAGGTGTGCCTGCCTCCCAAGATATTCTGTTTGACTTTCCCTCACCCCTCCATTTCCCTCTTCTTTCCAACACATACCCCAAAAGTGCTGGTCACTCTTGTGCTTGCTCTCCCCTTCTTCCCTTCTATCTGCCAAAAATGTACTTATCTTTTTTGAGCTCAAAACCACAGCTGTGAGCCAAGTGTAAGTAAAGGACTGTATGATATACGCTTCCGTGTAACACAGTGATCTCCTTCTACTTAAATTCTCTTCCTTCAAAATTATAATTTCTATAACCCATGTATTTTCATAAATAGCTCAAATCTTTTATGGAAAAGGGGTCTAACCCTAAATAAAAACTTAAAAAGCTCAAGGGAAGTTCCAGTAAATGTGTTCTCATTACTCTAGTATGATGACTTCTTCCTTCTATGAAACTTATTACCTAAAGATTTAGCAATTACTTGGGGTTTTTTGTTTTTGTTTCTGTTTTTTGGTGGGTTTTTTTGCTTTCTCAAATTTATTTTTTAAGTTATTTTAATTAGCACAAATTTGTAGTACATAATATTTACATTTCTTGTGTGGAGTTCGTGCATGTATATAACACATCTTAATTCCTTTTTTCATCTTTCTTCTCCCCTTCCTCTTCTCTCTCTCCATCTCTTGGTCCCTTTTCCATTTAAGAAAGATCTATCTCCCTACTTCCTATTATCTATCTTTCCTTTTGCTCTTTACTTATAATTTGCATTTCTCACATAAGACAAATCGTGATAATTAAGCTTGCACATCTAATTTATTTTACTTAAGATTACTGTCTCAAGGTGTATCCACTTTCCTACAAATGACTCACGTTTATCTTTCTTTATGGTGGAGTAGTATTCCATTATGTGTAAATATCACATTTTCTTTATCCATTGATCTGCGGAGGGACAAATAGGCTGCCTCCAAGATATGGTGAGTTGTGTTGCTATAACATGGGTATGTGTGTATCACTGTAATATGATGTCTTTAACGCTTTCAGAAAGCTAACTAGGAAGGGCAATAGCTGGGTCAAATGGAATTTCTATGTTAGTTTGTTGAGAAATCTCCACATTGATTTCCATAGTGGCTGTACTGGTTTACATTCCATCATAGGAAGGTTCCTTTTTCCCTGCAGCCTTGCAAGCATCTGTTATTATTACTTGGTTTCATTTTGTTAGTTAACACTGTCTCTTTACCCCTACCCTCCAGAAAGATAGTAATCTCTTTGAAAATGGGACTTATCTTTTTATAATTTATCTTAATTGCCAAGCACAGTGACAATATGTAATATCTATGCCATAAAAGAACACAATATTGCTGCTTTACAGTGGTTTTGAGCTCATCTGTTAAACAAAATTACTGATTTAATATTCATTTGACTAAACGTTAGAGTGCACACAAGTTTGTCAAACCAATAATGGATGATGACTTTTGAGTATTTGTAAGCTCAAGCAAAAAATTCAGAATTTAAAACACCGTGACTAGATTTAAGTAAAACATTTAGACAAATACTCACAACACAAAGCACATGACTCAGTGATTGTCCTGAAATGACACAAAAATTTTCCACAAAATTTCGAGGTGCAGAAAAAACTCGAAGAACCTTTTCATCTGCTCCAGATACAAACTGAAACCGATTAATCATTGTCAAACATTTCAGGTCATATCCATGTATCTGAGGTCTTGCAATTTCATGCCAAGTCACCTAGGTATTAAAATAAGATAAACAAAAATGACCGTATTTTTAAAAACCAATTCTTTTCAATAAGCTAAATACAAAACGCAAAATTATTTACTACTCCACAGAACTATATGAAACAATAGAGCAGATTCCCTTACAACTAAATTTTTAACTCTTGATAAAAGAAGAGCCACAAAAAATTCCTGTTATGGCTTGTGTTTAGATGGCCCCCTAAAGCCTCACACAGTCACACAGATGGGGCTTTTCCAGAGGTGGCTGGATCTAGAGTGTGATGATGGGATTAAGGGTGTGTGATTACTAAATTACTACACTGATTGGTCTGTCACCACCCTAATCCCGGTAACCTAGATACAATATAATAGGAGCAGAAAGACCCACTTAAGGCCCCTTGTTGCTTTGCTACCTTCTGCTTGCCAAGAACTATTTTCTCCTCTGCAATGCCACTGTGCCTTGGAGCCAACTGATTATAGACCAAAACCTCCTCAACTACAAGCTAAGTAAACCTTTCCTTCCTTATTCTGGGGCATCAGGTATTTTGTGTCAGCAATGAGAAAAGTAACTGCAACAATTCCAAATCATCTGATTTGTTTTTTAGTTGATTATGGATATTGCTCAAAGAGATCTATCATGTGCTACTAAGACAGCAATGTCACTGACAAACCTCCTTAGCGCTCAGAGACTGACCTCTCATCAGTCTCGTGAACTTTCCTCAGAAATTAAAGCTGAGGAACTTCACTTTTTCTTAGCACAGAGCAGTTCAATGGCTTACTAGTGTTAAAGCTTTATGGCCAAGACTGAAAATTTTCTTAAACAGGAACTGCTCTCAATCACTACTGTTTAACATTATATGACTTTAGAGATTAGCTTTTACTATAAATTTGATATTTCCAAATGAATTAAACGTAAAATTTGGCTGGGCATGGAGGCACACACCTGTAATCCCAGTACTCAGGAGGCTGAGGCAGAAGGATAGCCATGAGTTTGAAGCAGCCTGGGCTACATACTGAATTCAAGGCCAGCCGGAACTACGTAACGAAACCCTGCAGCTAAAACTGTAAAGACATATAACTTGTGTGTTAAGCTAAATAAATGCATTTTGATAATCATTTCAATTATTGTTTAAAATGCCCAGAGTAGATATATGTTCACATTTTAAAGACAATGGCAAACTAGAAGGGCTGAACCATTTTGCGTGCCTACCAGCAATGCATCAAAGTTTCAGTCAATCTGCATCCTTGTCAGCACTTGTTACAATCAGTGTTTTAACTTCAGCCAACCTAGAGCTGTTACAGTAGTATCTCGTTAAGGTTTTAATTTGCATTTTCTTAATGACTGACAATGTTAGCACACTTTGGATGTGCTCTGGGAAGTGTTTTTAAGTGGATTAGTCACTTGGAAGACATTTTACCTGTGATTGGTCTTGTCTTTTCCATGGAGCAAAAAGTCGAGTTGTCTGATCAGTACCAACAGTGATGATAAATTCTCCTTCTGGGTCCCACATTAGATCTTGGACACCATCAAAGTGTCCTGAAATGACAATCTCTGGAGTCCACTCTCTCTGTAATGAAAGTGCTCATGACACATATCAAAATAATAAAAAAAAAATCACCACTCAAAGTAAAGGATGCTTATCTGGGAAGAGGAAACTAAAGCTTCTGGCAACATTAAACAATACATTTTACAAGACAGGATCATAAATAACATGATTTGCTTCCCAATCAACCATATTAGATCGTAGGTGTATCCTCTGAACAGTAACTTTGGAAATTTTCCACCATTCACCATTCATTCAATGTTTTCCAGCATAGACACAACTTACTACAGTCCCTTCTTAAATAACTCTTCTGTAAAACAGGTACTACAATAACGGCAACTACCTCAGAGGGTATCAAGAGGATTAAATTAATTTATATTTCTAGTGTATGCAGAATAATGATGGCACATATTATACCCTATATTTGTTAAAATGAATAAAAGAAAAAGCACTAAGTGAACCAGGCATAATTGCACATATCTATAATTCCAGCTACTCAGGGAGATAAGGCAGAGTATCACAAATTCAAGGCCAGCCTGAGTAATTTAGTGAGACCTTGTTTCAAAACTACAAAAATAAAAAGGGCTGGAGTTGTAGCTACATGACACAGTGCTTGCCTAGCATGTGTGAAGCCCTGGATTCCATCCTTAGTACTGTGGGGGGAAAAAATGTTTTATGTAAAATGAGTCAGTAGATCTGAGTGTGGGTCTGGTGGCTTTCTTTATTAAGTTTAAAGGAGTCACACATATAAAGGACAGAGACGAACCAAACCTAGCTGGCTCACCTACTGAGGAGCTTGCAGTAACAACCATATAAACAGTGACAACAAAACACAGAAAATATCACATGCTTGGTCCAGAGTCTCTTTTTAAATAATCTTAAGTGGTAGTAAAATTTGACGACAACGGAAAAAAAGAATGTGTAAATAACTGAAAGGTTATTCAAAGGCAAGTCTGATGAATATAGTCAGTAATTAAACTATCTTATTCGTGATTTTAAAAAAAGGCTGTGACAAAGAAATTATTTTCTGTGACAAAAAAGAAACTGTGAAATTTAGTATTAATTGGAGTTTATAAAAAATTCTGAGCAATGGATAGCACTTTTGAATTAACCACATCGTTTTTTAAAAAACAGTACTCAGTGGCAGTGCTTATTTGTTTTTAAAAGTCGCACACGTGGGGATGTGGTAGAGTATTTGCACAGCCGTGTGAGCGCCGGGGTCTAATCCCCAGGCGTGAAAAAGAAAAGGAAGTGGAACTATCTATTACAAACGTAGAGTGTGGGATGCTGACAGTGGGCAAGGCTGTACGTATGGGAACTCTATGTTCTGCTCACTTTTGCTATCAGTCTAAACAGCTCTAAAATATGAAACCCATTTAAAAAGCAAACTACCCTCAACACCTGATAAGTCAAATTATAAGGACAAGTACAGTGAGATTCTGTATTCTGGCTTAGGTTTCTCCTTAATCATCTGACGCTTTTTTCCTATGAATGCCCTCAGTTAAAATAATAAAATTTATCTTTAAAGATATTTCTTACCTTTACAGTTTCAGAGCTTATAGTAGTTGAAATAATCTTGGTCAACTCCAAAAAGAGGACACAAGGGAAAAAGTAAATCCTTTCATAAATTAAGAAGTTAAAACCTCGTGGATGACAAAATTATTACAAACCTCACAAAGTAAAAGTGATGTGAATCCATGAATTTTTACTTTGAGATGGATGTCCAGAATATGCTCAGCCACATTTCATTCAATGTTATTTCATTTGTTTATTTATTATTAATTATTACCATAATTAATATACTATGTACAGTACATGCCAGGCCCTACTTTTCATATACATAATCTTTTTTTTAGTAGTAGTGCTGGAGATCAAACCAAGTGCCTCACACAAGCTGGGCAAGCACTCTACCACTCAGCTACATTCTAGCCCTCTATACATCCTCATTTACACTCGCAATACCTCAAAAATGCTCTACACATCTGTACTTTTTGTCATAAAAAAGTATGAACTGGGCCAGGCGCGGTGGCACATACCTGTAATCCCAGCACTCTGGAGGCTGAGGCAGGAGGATCGTTGCGAGTTCAAGACCAGCCTGAGCTACAAAGTGAGCTCAAGGCCAACCTCAACTGCATAGTGAGACCCTGTCTCAAAAAGTATTATGAGTTATCTAGTATGAAAACAATACAATGTCTATAGAAATCAATGCTGTCACTTGAACTTAAATGTTTCAACTATCATTTTGCAGAGTGTTATAGGTAAACCCTATTTAGTTAGTGTTCATCTAGGATTCACTCTGTGATTAGAAATAATTTAAAAGTGCTTCTCTTACTGGATTAACTGTACTCTGCTTCCAAAGGTGCAGTGCTCCGTGAAAAGCATGAGCGATGATCATGGAGCCATCTTTGTTGAATTGGCAATCATAAAATCCCAGAGTATTTCCACCTACTTCACCTACTCGAACCTACACAGTAACAGACAGAAAACAACTCTCAACCAATAGTCCCATTTCACAAGCAGAATGGATTCCAGAGATTAAGTTCCAACTCATCTAATGTATACAAAGTGTAAAAATTTACAGCTCTTGAAATAGATTTGGAATTAAGCATTTAGTTCACAAAATCCAATTTCTTCTTCCTTAAATAGCTACATTTTACCTGTTCCAGCCAAACTCCTGACTCTTCATCTGGAGCCCAGAGAATCATGGTTTTATCCATTGAAGCAGACAACAATCTCATTGGCTGCTGTAGAACACCATCTAAATAATAAAAACTAATTCTTTTAAATGATCAACAGGCACTATATTTGTAGCTTATCAGAAAAAAACAATGGAGATACTGCACAAATGTTCACTGTAGCATTGTTTTTGTTGTTGTTGTTGTTTCTTCCCCTGGTACCAGGAATCAAACTCACAACCTGGCTCTTGCCAGGCAGGCACTGTGCCACTAAGCTAAATCTCCAGCCCCTGTAGCATTGTTTATAATGCAATAATCTGCAAACAGCACATTAAAAGAACAGTTTGGTAAATCAAGGTATATTCAGGCAATGGAATATTATAATAAAAAATAATTAGAACTATATGAATCAAAATGGATAAATCTCTAAAACATATTAAACTAAAAACGAACATTGTAAAAGGATAAATACATACTGATAGAAAGTTTTAATAACTATAAAGCAGTATGTTTATGGCAATAAAAATGTTTATGGTAATAAAAATACAAAAACATGCATGAAATGATATGCACTCAATTCAGTACTATAGCTGCCTTACAGAGGATGCACTGGGAGGGCTCAAAAGAACACACAAAGGTTCTCAGTATCTATAAATCCTTTTAAAAAAAAAACATGGAAAATTTGGCTATTACCTCTCTAATCCTGATCTCTTGGAAGGTCGGATAAAGTTTAGTTTTAGCTTAGAGAGGCAGAACTTTAACATGAATGACCATTATGATTTTTTGTATAGTCTGCTGGGCCCTGGTATATAATATAAGCTGCTTTGTCCAAAACAATGGCCTCCTCTTATTTTTATTTAACAGTGAAAATATAATTTCGAAGGTTTAGTAAAAGTAAGATTGAGGTTTCTTTCTAGTTTTTAAATTAAACATGTGCTTCTAAGATCATACACAGAACCAACTAACTGGTACAGTACATGCCAGCCCCTGTTTTTTATGTACATAATTTTTTTTTCTTAGTAGTAGTGCTAGAGATCAAACCCAGTGCCTCTCACAAGCTGGGCAAGCAGTCTACCACTCAGCTACATTCTAGCCCTCTATACATCCTCATTTACACTCACAGTGCCTCAACAATGCTGTACATATTTGTACTTTTCTTCATAAAAAAGTATGAGTTACCTAATATGAACACAATATAATCTCTATAGAAATCAATGCTGTCACTTGAACTTAAATGCTTCAACTAGCTGGTTCTATGGTGTAGAGATGATAAAGCAGTAACTGCTAGTACCAAGTAGGTACTGACACCTGTTTTAGCTGATAATAAAAGGCTTGGGCTGACAAAATGGAGGTGTTATGGATGGGCAAGGAAGAAGCCACTAGGCAAAGCCACATGGAACAAATCAGAGTTGGCCCATAAAGAAAAAATAATTGTAACTGCAGCAAATATAAGAGCTGACTGGTCATTACCCAGGCATTAATTACCACAATTCTTGTTTTGGGGAAGAGGTTAGGGGAAGAACACGAGGCTATGTCTTACTCAACTCTATAGTCAGCACCAGTTTAGGCATAGTAAAATCACCACTCCTTACCAGGCATGGTGGCACACGCCTGTAATCCCAGCACTAGGTGTTCTGAGGCAGGAAGATCACTGTGAGTCTGAGGCCATCTTGGGCTACACAGTGAGACCCTGTCTCAAAAAAAACTCCCCCGCCCCCCAAAAAACAACACTCCATCAATGAAGGTTAAGGGCGAAAGAAAAGACCGTCTTAATTTTTCACAAATAATGTATTTTAAAGATTTCAGTGAGGCTGACTTGAAAGTCAGTTTCTTTTGAGCCAGGTATGGTGACACACACCTGTAATCCTGCCACTATAGGAGGCTGAGGCAGAAGGAGTTCAAGTTTGATCTCGCTCTGGGAATTTAGTCAGATCCTGTCTCAAAAAAAATGGGCTATAGATGTAGCTCAGTGAGAAGGTCTGGGTTCAACCCTCCAATACCACAAAAGAAAAAAAAAGTCAAGTTTTTCTTAAGCCCCTTCATGACTAGGGAGAAACTGTTAAAAGATAAAGATAACAAAGTATGACAGTTCTGGCATCATGGCAAGAAGCACACTTTGCCCACTTACCGAAGCAACTTTCACTGGAACTGAGTATCCAGCATACCAGGAAAGCACCTTACGTTCTACCAACTTGAAAATGTCTTATATTTGAGATTTCTAATCACAATCCAAACAATATCCAGCTAGTCAGCTTAAAATTATGGCCATTTTTTTCCTACCTTTGTAAAATGAAGGTTGCCAGTGAACTGCATTCACCCAGTTTTCATGACCAGCCAACACAGTCTCCAGAGTAACTCCAAAGGTTGCTTTACTGCCTACAACAAAAGCAGTCAAGGTATTCTTCCCTCAAAGCCTTCTCAAGGCAACATTTGTACAACCACATTAGTGGTGCCATTATGTAAAATAAAAAAATCAGAACAAAGGGTAATTACTGAGATTCAACAAAAAGAACATGCATTCTAAATTTCACAATCTCACCCACTGTTTAAAATTATAGGAGAAAAAATTCTAAAGATAAGTTTCTCTCTGTAGTTTTCTCTACTTAGTCATAAATATTAAAGAATTTTTTTAAGTTTCTGAAAAGTTGTTATACTTCACAAACATATGTAATATATACACAGCTTTGACTCCCCAGTACCATAGTAAGTAAATAAATTTAAATAAAATTTTAAATAATGGAGACTAAATCAGTATTTTGACTTTTAAAATAAAATAATCAAAAATATCATGAAAAGTTTCATATTTGGGCACAGGTACTTACAATTCACTGGTTACATCATTTCTTGTTCTCCTCATAAAACTTTATTAACAAATTCTCAATTCTAATGGGCTTTAAAACCAAGAAGAATAATAAATAACTACAAACCTACGTGAACAATGCTTACTGAGTACTGACTTTATAACTCAGATACACATCCAAAACACATCCAAAAATACATCCTCTAAGTACAACATTCCAACAAGATCTACCAACCAGGGATTCTGTTCTAATGGCAGAACAGGAAAACCTAAATTGCATATGGTATTCAAATACAAAGATTCAGATTGTCTCTTATGAATATACCTGCAAAAGTAGGGACAATTCACATTGGTTCATTAGGACTTCCTATCTTGAAACAGAAAATTCAGTAACATTTTATAAATTCATTTGATACTTTCATAAATCAAAGAACAGAATCTTATTTTCCTAAAAAACTAAATTTGACACAGGCACGTGGTGAAATGAATAATCACAAGAAGACCTACGCATTTTAACATCAAATATTTTCACTGTTACCTTCATTTTCTATGGTAAAAGTATTTTCCTTCAGTCTTATTTTATCATCTTGTATTTCTGAAGATGTCGATTTTATATAGAGCCTCCATATTCTTATCAGGCAATCTTGTGAACAGCTTGCTAGGAAAATATCTCTACCTAATTAAAAAAAAATATTCTATTATTTTTAAAACATTATATTCTTAACTGCTTGTAGAAGACTTTCTCCTTACAATAGGTACATTTCTAGATTTCCTGAAAAAATACTTTGTTTCCTTACCCTTCAGTCATTTGACCTACATTCATTTTTAATAACAATGATAATTATATGTGCAATACTAACATACTTTCATAAAAAGCCATACTTTGCACCAGCTCAGCGGCACAGCACCTGCCTGGCAAGCACAAGGAACTGAGTTCAATTCCCAGTACCCCCACCATCCCCCAAAAAGGCCATACTTTCACAGATAGTACTAAGTTCTACAAAGAACTTTTCAAAAATGTCTGCATGCACACAAGACAGCTGGTGTCATTTTGTGAATATCCATTTGTTTTCTTCTCAATTAATATTTCTTATTTTCTAGTTGGAACAATAAAAAGGTAATACACAAGGAAAACTTAAAATATAAGAGGCTGCTTTCTAAGAAGTTACTTATACTTGTCCCCACCGTCTGTATGTTAGCAAAATTTCATACTAACCAAAGGCTGCCCACTCTACACCTCTTATCCAATCTTCATGTCCACAGAGAAAAAGCACTTTCTGAAACTAGTAAGATAAAAAATTCATGGGGATTAAAGTAAGAATTTAACATTTTTCATGCATATCAATGACTTCACTTGATCTCAGTTTTGTATCATTTTTACTGAAAACATTACCTAATCAGATATAGACTAAAACACTCATTTGGTGATAAAATTCATCATGTAATATCTAAATCATTAATTGAGCAACACTGAATAAATACAATAGTCTGTAGTATTCAAGTGATTTAAATGTTTACAAGATTAAAGCTCAGCAAGCAGTTGGGGCTGCAGTTCAGGGGTAGAATGTTTACCTAGCATGTGTAAGGCCCTGGGTCCAATCTCCACCACCACCAAAAAGAAGACTAAAGCTCAGAATAAACTACCAGGATGCTTCACTGTAGGTATATTAAACCTCACTTAAAGCATTTAAGGAAAATACACACAAACACACACACAGGAGCATACTTATTTCCTTCCTGCACCTAGTGACTTATTTCTCCCTAACCTGGTAGTCAAGGCATCAGTTTCTGGATGTACACAGAGTACAAGACCATCTAACATAGGACTGTCAGAAAAGATTTCCCTATTGGATTATCTGGGTTGGAATTACAACATTCCCTAAATTCTGTAATTAAAAAGTCCGTATTAAGATGTATCACTAAGCCAAACATCATTCTAGTCTTAAGATAAATATCATTAATTACCTGATCATTCTGTTGCACAAATAAGTGAATTTTGCAATCATCATCACCACAGGCTAATATCGGTACTGCAAGGGGGAAAATAAGCATTACTGTGAGTACTCCATCAAAAGTATGATCCCCCATGTAGATTCTAAGCCTAAATGATGAACTCAGACTTGTTTCTTGCATCACTGAACAATGAATTAGAAGTGCTCAATAAATGTCTCCAAGAGCCAGGTGTGATGGCACTTGCCTGCTACTCAGGAGGCTGAAGCAGCAAGATTACAAGTTTGAGGCCAGCCTAGATAACTCAGCCAGACTCTGTCTCAAAATAAGAGTAATGAAAAGGGCTGTGGATATACCTCAGTTTTGGAGGATTTGCCCGGTATGCACGGGGCCCTAGGCTTAACCCCCAGAACCACAAAACACAAAACACAGAAAGTCTCCACAATAAAATAGACACTCTAAAACATTCTATTCAATTGTTATTTGGTAAATATCAACTATTATTTCACTGAGATAATTAGTAACTCCATTCTATTTCACTTATGACAGAACAAACAGTGAAAAAGAAGCTCAAGAGCAAGCAGGGCAAAAGATTTTTATCACATCAGCCAAAAGATGAGTATGAAACTTTGTCAGCCCAACTGAATAAACCTGAGTTACTACGAGCCTAGCATCACAGCTACTACACAATGGTTTATGAACGTTTATGACTTGAAGGACTTTACATTTTGAGAACAAACTCAACACTAAAAGTAAAAGCATGTAAATAAATATGTAGCTAAAAAGCAATGAAAGGTGTGACTATAATTAGCTTTCCTTAATAAGATTTAAAAAAAACCACATTATCAAAGGACAGCTCTAATGACTCTGGAGCAAGAAAACATAGAAATTCTTTTCTAAGAAAATGTCCTGCTACTACTAAATGTGTTTTTCAAAGCTAGAGTAGCTAGTCACTTATTCTCAACGTCAGTGGGAAGAAATGAGATTCTATGTTATTAAACCATTGGGTTTGCAGCTTCTCTTGAGGAACCTTCACACAAAACAGAAGCTAAATGTGAAGCAGTTCCTACTGCAAAAGGCAGGAGAGGTTGGTGCTTCCAGGCCCTGCCTCTCACCACCAATCTGTCCTCAGGTAACAAAAGAGGTGAAGAGAATTACTTCACATTAGCTATCATCTTCATGGAAGATAAAGAAAAGAAAAAGCCAGATGTGATGGGTCACATCTGTAATCTCAGGACTCTGGAGGCTGAGGCAGGATGATCTCTTCAGAGTTTCAAGTCAACCTTGGCTACACACTGAGTTCAATGCCAACCTGAACTGCATAGGGAGATCCTGTCTCAAAATTAAAAAAAAAAAAAAAAAAAAAAAAAAAGACAAGGGCAGATGGGTTGCAGAGCAAAAGAAAACTTTTTCTGTCTGGAGATTTGCAGTCATCTCATCATGCAGGATATGAAGCAGTTGTCACCTTCATAGAAATATTCACAAGGACCATCTTCAGTAATTTTCAACTTATTCAAGACTTTTACTTTCTAAAGAATCAGATACAACCCCTAAATTATATCTATACACATTCATAATCTATTTCACAAACAGTATCAATCTTGAGTATATATTAAGTCAATTACATTTTGAACAGCCACCAAAATTGTTAGTAGTCTTTCCTTAACCTCATGTTCTACATAGTTAGACCATCTGAATATTTTACCAAAATGTTATCCACATCTGAATTTTTTTCATGAATACATCTATATCCAGAGTTAGGGGCTATCTCAGTAGTAGAGTGTTTGCATAGCACATGTGAGACCATTTGTTCCATTTCTGGCGCCACAAAAAAAAAATTAAAATAAGATCTAGATACAAAACTAAGACATCATATGTTCCTTTTAGGTTCTGGTAATATGGAGATATGCACATACTTTATATTATTCTTTTAGAAGGATACTCACCATCAGTACCAGGCAAAAAGAATAAGGACAGAGCCAGAGCAAATCCATTTCCAAAGGTCAAGGTCTGAAGGCATGTTACTAAGAAACAATAAAAAATGCCATGAATATCTCTGAGCTTACATACCTAGAAAAGTTAGGTAGAATTCTCACAGCTCTGGGTGTCAACAAGGAGATGACAAAGTTCAATCCTGAGGCCCCACTGACCATGTGAAATTAAATGGCCAAATTTCAACAATGTTATAGGGAACAAAATGATTCATATGAAAAGGCTTAAAATAAATTTACACTGTCTAACAGTTTGCTGTACAGGAATTTTGAGAAAGTATTTAAAAAACCTGAACATTTAAAAGTTATTTGAAAATCAGGTGTGGTGGCACACTCCTATAATCCCCAAACTCAGGAGGCTGAGACAGGAGTATCACCACAAGTTTAAGACCAGCCTGGGCTACACAATAAGCTCAAGGCCAGCCTGAACTACACAGTGAGACCCGTCTCAAAAAACAAAAACCAAAAAAACAAACAAACTTACTTAGAAATTTGGAAAATTCACATGGATGTTATTCTAGTTGTCATTTAATAATTACTATTTCATTTATCTGGATTATAATGCAGCCAAACTTACCTTCTGAACCCTTTTTAGACCAGAATCGGACAGTAGAATCTGAAGATGCAGATACTATCAGTGTGTGCAACGCAGCATCTGACGCTGTTCTCTGGTAAACAGCATGCACCGCATAAACAGGTCCTTCATGGCCTTGGAGATGAATGGCTTTTAAAAGCTGAATCAGAATAACAAAAGCACCATGACACAAAAAAATTGATCATTTTACCTTTATTTAGCTGGAGTCACAGGATGAAAGGTATAGCAAAATCATGCCTCAAAAATAAAAAGAATGCCCTGGTGGCACACGCCTGTAATCTCAGCACTTGGGAGGCTGAGGCAGGAGGATCACTGTGAATGTGAGACCAGCCTGGGCTACAAAGTGAGCTCAAGGCCAGCCTGAACTGCATAGTGAGACACTGTCTCAAAAAGACAATAAATAAATAAATAAAATAAAATAAAGTAAAATAAAAAGGGTTGGGGATATAGTTCAGTGGGAAGGCATAAAGTCAAACCTGCAAATAAATACATAAATACATAAATAAATAAATAAAAAGCTTGACCCCCGCCAAATAATACCTGGCCCAAGAATAGGTTCTCTAAGTTGAAGAGAATGGGAACTTTCAAGAAGCCTGTCTGACTTAACAGAACAAAATGTACATTCATTGACACAGCAAAGAATCTAAAGAAAATAGCACTAGCCAGGCATGGTGGTGCATGCCTATAATCCCAACACTTGGGTGGCTGAGGCAGGAGGACTGTTGCAAGTTCGAGACCAAGGCCACTCTGAACTGTATAGTGAGACCCTGTCCCAAAAAGACAAAAAAAGGGAAAAAAACAGCACTAGTGAATAGAAGACAAAAGAATTATCTTCACCACATACTGTTTGTAGTAGTCAAAAATCACAATTAACCTAAAATTATTAATAAGGAACTGATTAAGTAAATTATAGCAGATATACATTGAGGTCAATAAAAAGGATAATGTAAATAAACACATGCCTACTGTTACTGAAAGATGTCCACGACACTGACATTTTTTAACATAGGCCAAATTTGTGGAATGCTCTTCCTTTTGGTGCAGTCAGATGTTTCCTCATGAACAGATTCAACATATACATTCTGACAGCATTACTACATAAATGTACACCATCAAGATACAGAAGTCGGGCCAGGAATGTAGCTCAGCGGCATAATGCCTGCCTGACAATTACAAGGTCCTGAGCTCGATTCCCAGTACCAAAAAAACAAAAAAGATACAGAAGTCAGTTTGTTCAAGTTTTAGTTAAGTTAATCTTGTTTCTTACAAGATAGTATCTATAGGCGTTTTTTTCCCCCACTGTGTAGTTAATGTTTTGCTTGGTGATAATGTCTGAGTACACTTTGGGATTGAATAAATAGTTTATTCCCTATCAAACTTTTATCAAGTACTTTTAGCATCCAATTGTGATACTTGCCTAAATCAAGTATGGCTCCAAAACAGAAAAACAGAAAAGAGAAATTCCATTTGCTTATCAAATCTATCTGCTCACCAGGTAATTAATATTCCCTCTGACAACTTTCCACTACTCCTTTGCAGCCTTTTGTTTTGTTTTGCTTTTTGTAGTGCTGATGGTAGAACCTAGGGCTTCTCACTAGCCAGATGCTCTACCACTGAGCTACACCTCCAATCCAGGTCTATTTTTTACGAATTTCTTTCAAATGTGTGAGATTCCATTATTACTTTAAGAGACCTCTCCTGCATATTGTCATCTGCTGAAACACAAGTGTTCCCTAAATGCCTCCTCAGTTGTTTTCCCAATTACTTAAGCAGAACTCTGCAACTCAAGAAAGTTGCTAATCTTTATGCATAAGGGTCTATGCACAAACTTCCTGTAATCACTAAACTCTGACTTATTAAAAAAAAGTATTTTTAAAAGACTCACAAATAGTAAAATCTCTTTGTACATAATTACTCATAGAACTAGAGATCTAGAATGATGTTCAACAGAAAGTTAACTCTTCTCAGATTTTATAGTTTTTTCCTTCTTTACAGTTTTCTGTTTTTATACACTGTCTTTACATGACTCTGTATCATGATCCCCAAGCAAATCCATTGAAAATACTCATTTCATTTTTTTGAGCAGTTACAGTTCAACTACCAGACAACTTTTAAAAACAAACAGAAGAAACTTCTCGTTTACCAGCTTTTTAAAAAAACAATACTTACTGTTCAAAGACCCAAACCTGTCATTATAGCAGCTTAGCATTATTTCCTTTTATCATCAGTCAAGGTGCACTGAGCACCTGTGTGCATGGAAATACACACGGGAAAGAACATTTAAGCCTTTAAGGAAGTTACAATTCCCCTTCCTCTCACTGTCCTAATTCCTTTCATCCCTCTTTTACACCTTTCATCTCCCTTCTCACCATCCCTGTCTGGCCTCACATTCTCTCTGCTGTGTCCCATCATATATTTGCTTGCCTGCAATCCTCTCTCTAATGTCAGGCAAAGCTTGGGGAAGCATTGAGGACAGACTCTTGCAAATCTCAAAGTCTCAAAAATAAATGATATTAAAATACCCCTCTCTGGACTTTTCTGCTAAGGTTAATCCTAGCAGAAGCCAAGTTTACTGCATTCTCCCACTTTGGTGTTCTTATTCAAGTGCAAGAAACTCCAGAATCCCACCTTCACACCTGCCCTGTGTTTCTGAGGGTAAGCCTGGGCATCCAGCCAGGAATGCACAGGACTTCTACAAATGAGGTCACATCTTCCTTCCTACTTGCCTATTTTTCTCAGTAAAAGCACCTTTCTCCAAGGGCCCTCAGACAGAATCCCACTGGTTTTGATTACTCATTCCCCTGCCCACCAGATAAGATTCCCACTCCTTTGACATCTACCCTCTTATGCCAAACTCACTTTTCCTTTGAAAACATACCTGATTTTGTTGCCTTCATATTTTTCTCTCTTTAATTTGCCACACTACCGTCAATTAATCTTCTGACAGGCATACTCCTATGCTTTAGAAATCATCACTGACTTCCAAATACTGACCAATAAAGAACAGATGCTTAAAGCTAGTATTCAAACTCCAACATGACTTTCTCCTACACCACCTGTCCAGCATTATTACCCACAATGTATTAGCTCATATTTCCAAAATTGTCTTCCTCAGAGTTCCAAGGGATGCCAAGAGATTTAATGGGGGGAGGGGAGTTTCATACATGTAATAATTTTGGGAATTGCCATTTCTGTGTTACCTGGAATCCTGCTCTTTTAATTGCTCCCAAGATAATCATCCTACATTTTAAAATCCAACTCAAAAACCACCTTTTTATTCAAGTACATTATGCCTTCAAAACTATGTACTGTACCTGTTTCATGAACAGGTCTTTGCCTTAACTATTTCTTCTATGTGGCAGGTGTTCAAATGTCTAAGACACTAATCTTTTCATGTTTTTGATTACCAGTGGGAAAAAAACCTAACTGTCCAAGGGTAGAGAACCATCCATACCATGTACTGTATCATTCAGAATTATGCAGCTCTGCATTCACCTGGCAGCAGCTGCCCTATTAACAGCTGCCCTATCAACACAGCAGTATTGATATTTACTACCACTGAAAACTGAACAGTTCATGTAAGAACAGCCTGAAAATTACTACAAGATGACAGGAAATTTGCAGAGATGATGGACAGCATAGGCAGATGGGAACAATTATCAGAGGGAAAATTACAGGGGTATGAAGTACAGAAGATACAGTATCTGGGTTCCAGATAAGCAAAAAGGAGGGGACATCATGTAGGAAAAAAATGAAAGGAAAAATGAAAAGATGTATCATTTCTTATAATTCAAATATCTACTTACCTGATTATTCTCTATTTCCCAGTGAATAACTTGATTATCAGATCCTCCAGAAACTAATTCAGTAGAAGGAGCTGAAAAAATTATAACTCAGTAAATATTTTAATTCATTTGATTCCTCCATCTATTTCTAAAAATTTCAAAGCAACAGAAAACATGTAAGAACACCTTATATCTTATACACTCTATACATGTATGCACACACATTTTCTACACATTTGAAAATAAGTTGCTCAACAGTGAATGAAAAAACAAGATATATATATGAGGTGTGACCAAAAACATGTTTAGATTTTAAAAAATTATTATAGTAAAGGGTATATTGTCTTTAATCCCTTTCTAAATGCTACCCTTCATTTTGGAACACACTTATCCCATCATTCTTGCCACTTTCTGAAGCAGTTTACAGTTACATTTATAGCAATTTCTGTCAAATAAGCATGTTACGGTGTGCCCTCATCCATGTTATTCAGCAGATCTGGCAGTGTTTGACCTCTGGCTCTTCCCTGAAGTCGTATGACTAAGACAGAGGAAATATCAAGGAAGCTACGTCAGCACAACTAAAGTCAGTCACAAAAGAGGACTTCCAGAACTGCATGCAAAAGTGGCAAGAAAGACAGAATATGTGTACTTGAGTTGGGGGAGGTCTTAGGAGGTATTAACGTCAATATGTCTTTTACTATAATTTTTTAAATGTACACATTCATTGTATTTTCTAACCAACCTTAAACACAATGAAGTGTTATTATTCAGCCATAAAGAATGAAATCGTATTATTTCCAAGAAAAGGAATGGAACTAGAGAGTAGCACAGCAAGTGAAGTAAGCCAGACACAGAAATGCAGGTATCATATATTTTCTCTCACATGTGGAAGCTAAAAAAACAAACAAACAAACAAACAAAAAAAAAAAAATAAGAGAAACTATAGTACGTAGGACAGGGAAGGGGTCTGGGGGTAGTGTGGAGAGGGGAGAAGCTAGAAGGGTGGGTACACATGATTAATACACAATACATGCATGTATGGGAATATTACAGTGAACCCCATTAATTTAGGTATGTTAATAATTTTAATAAAAGTCGCTAACGTTGTGACTGCTGATCCTCACAGACTTTTTCATGTATCTCCTAAACATTTCCCTATATTATCTCAATGATCACATTCAAGAATTTTAATACTGATATAGTACCAGTATGTAATATGTAGTCCATATTAAAATAACCCACATTATTCCAGTAATACCATTTGTAGTTTTGTTTTGAATTCAGAATCTAAGAATCACATATTTGCACGTCTGGTAACCACATCTTTGAAATCTCCTTTAACTTAGGATAATTTCTCAGTTTCATTCTTTTTTGTGACAACAGTACAGGCCAGTTGTTTTGCATGGTGTTCTTTAATGTAAATTTCTCGCAGGGCATAGTGGTGCACGCCTGTAATCCCAGCACTGGGGAGGCTGAGGCAGGAGGACTGTTGTGAGTTCAGGACAAGCCTGGGCTACAAAGTAAGCTCAAGGCCAGCCTGAATTGCATAGTGAGACCCTGTCTCAAAAAGACAAAAACAAAACAAAACAAAACAAAAAAGTAATTTCTCTGTCACCTTGTTAGATTCACACTAAATACTTTTTGAATGAACAACATTATATGAGAAAGTATAGTGAACTGCTCTAATTAAGCTTGAATTACTCTTGAGATTAGCGATACACTTCAAAATAGCTCTTTTAAATATTTACAATTTCACGGAAATTAGAAAAGAAACAAGTACCAAAAAGAAGAAAATAATATAACTTTGGTTTGGATTGCCCATTTTCTTTTTCCAGTATATGTGCTAGATATTTAGGGGAGACAGCTGGGAGTCAGTCTAAAGAGTATAATTAAAAATGTCAACTATAAAAACAAGTCTTAGACTTGAACTCTGAAGTCCCAGCTTCATATTCTAACTCGGCTACCAACCACTTGTGACCTTAGGCGTCAGTTTCCTATATATCACAGAAATTAAGCCATATATTTTCATGACTTTGAGAGTAAGTATAATAAGGTACATAAGAATATATGAAGAAACCAGACATCTTAAGAATATAAAATGGTGGTATTAAAATTTTATGTCCCTGATGCAGTGGTCAGAAAGGATACCTAAATTACTGTATCTAGTGTTGAGACCTTTTCTTAGAGGAAATCAATCATCATAGTTACAGACTGCAATGATGCACACGTAATTCATTTTATGTAACTCACTTTTAAAGGGAAGATGAAATACACAAGCCCAAATTAATATTTTATAACAAATTCCTATACTAAAAGTCAAGTAGTTTTTGATGTCATGTGGTAGCAATTAATGTAATTACAATTGTGTTTTAACAACTGAATTAACAGCTACCCCTGTACTATTTAATTTTTTTTATTTTAATGTGATACATGACTAATCTTGCTTTACCAACTGAAACAGTTTATTAAACTTTTTTTATGTGACAATAAAATCATAACAAAGTCTCACTAACTCAAGAAATTCCCTACCAAGAACAGAATGTTTTCAATAAATGTTTCTAGAATGAAAAGTAAGTCAGAATGGGTATATTTAAGATACTTAAGGAAATTCCATTAAATTTTTGAAAGAATCGTTCAAAAACCACCAATATGTTAAGTAAGAATCCTAGAGTAAAAGAATCTTAGAAATGGGAGAGAAATAATCCATAGTAATATAGCAATTCAAAATTTTTGGTCTCAGGACTCCACACTTTTAAATTTTCTAAGGATCCCTCTGCACAGCAAATGGAAATCACCAATGGAGTAGAGACAATCTGCAAAATGGGTGAAAAATTTTGCAAGCTACTTGTCAAAGGACTAAGAAGCCAGACTTGGTGGTACATGCCTATAATCCCAGCACATGGGAGATTGAGGTAGGAGAATTGCTGCAAGTTTGAGGCCAGCCTGGACTACATACCAAAGCCCTGTCTCCAAAAAAGAAAAGAGACTAAATTTAACATATATGAAGAACTCAGAAAAATTAGACATCTCAAATTGAAACAATCAAAAAGTGGCATCTGAAATGAATAGAGACTTCTCAGATAACAAAGTAAAAACAGCCAAAAATACATTTTAAAAATGTTCATCATCTCTGGCCATTCCAGAAATGCAAATTAAAACAACACTGAGATTCCATCTTACTCCAGAAAGAACGGCAATCATTGAAAAATCAACCAATATCAAATGCTGGAGAGGCTGGTGGGGGGCCCTCCTCATTTTTCTTAGGAGTCTAAACTGATACAACTACTATAGAAAATCAGTATGGAGATGCCTCAAAAATCTAAAACTAGGACCAAAGATGTAGCTCAGTCGCATAGTGCCTGCCTGGCAAGTGCACGGCCCTAAGTTCAATTTCTGGTACCTTAAAAAAAAAACCTGAAATGAGAAATTCCATTTGACCTAAATCTTCCCCTTCTACTTATCTTCCCGAAAGTTAAAGACATCATATCACAATGATGTCTGCATACCCGTGTTTACAGCAGCATAATTCATAGTAGCATAATCTTGGAAGCAGCCTGTGTACCCATTCACAGATGAATGGATATGGAAAATGTGGTATTTATACACAGTGGAGTACTACTCTGCCATAAAGAAGGACAGACTAAAATCATTCGTAGGAAAATGGATGGACCTTGAAAAACCATAATGTTGGGGCTGGGGATTTAGCTCAGCGGCAAAAGCGCCTGCCTGGCAAGTGCAAGGTCGTGAGTTCGGTTCCCGGTACCAGAGAAAAACCAAAACCAAAAAAAAAAAAAAAGAAAAACCATAATGTTAAGTGAAATAAATTAGACACACAGACTTGAATATTTTATTTTCTCTTATGAGAAGCCCAATATATAAATAAGACAGGCAATAGGTTAAAAAAGAGAAAAAATGTTATTGTTTTCCAGCATGGACAATATATCTAATGTATCTTGATTTTACATAATTGTCTCATGGTTTTTGTTTTTTTGGCCTGCTACTCCGGCTACTAATCTGTACTTATGATAATTAACTTTATAAGGATTTATAAAATAAATAAATGAATGTGATGCTGGAAAAAAACTTTTTTTAGAAAGAAGGTAGAGGGGAAGGTGAGGAAAAAAAGGGGTGTGTTCTTTACATGTACCAATTTCTCACAATGACTGTAATCACTATGTACTGTAAATGTGCTAATAAAAATTTTCAATGCAAAAAAAATTTTTTTTTAAATTAATTTTTAAAAGTTCTAAGATTCCCCAAAAGCTTTTGATTATATGGGCCATATTACTAATGTAACTATATTAGAAATTAAAACTGAGAAATCTGAAGACTACTTATTTAATAGCTAGCTTTAAAATTACGAGGGGGCAGGCACGGTGGTACATGCGTATAGTCCCAGTACTTGGGAGGCTAAGGCAGGAGGACTGCTGTGAGTTCAAGGCCAGCCTGGGCTACATAGTGAGTTCAAAGTCAGGCTGAAGTACATAGAGAGACTCTGTCTTAAAAAAAGAAATTATGAGGAAGCCCACAATATGGGCTTGAGGATGAAGGGAACCCAATGTATTTCAAAACAAAAAGTTTGTGAGAAAAGATACTGTTTTACACTTCTGCAAATCTCAATGTTTGATTGTATTAGCTGCAGGTGGATTTTTATATCTGCTTCCATATTTAATCTGTTTCATTATCACATATCATATCCCTGCTAGAAAACTCCACTATATATTTGTGACAAAATATGAACAAAACTATGACTATTTTTTAGTCTTATTATGAAAATAATTTGACCTCATAAGTCTTGTGAACATCTGATCTAGTCCTATACGGACCTTACTTTTCACAGGGTACTAACAGGTGCAAATTGGGGTCTGTCACAGAAACAGATGTGGAAAGTGAGTCTTCTGAAAGCCAGTCTAAGCCTAGGCCCTACTTACACATTTTCCAGCAAAGGCTGTGGGCTTTTGAAGGTGGGGTGTGGGAAAGTACTGCCACAGTCCAAGTGTCTCTTTCATCCTAAACCCTGCTGTGTTATCCATGCTTCAACTGCTACAAACTAAAAAGACAGGTCAGACATTTCATTGAGCATACCATCATTTTTCTTTTATTTTCGAATTCTGTAACATTACATAAGATAATGATGAGTTAAGAGACAGGTTGAAAGAAAAATGACTAACCAGACTTTCTCCGAAAACAACTGAAATCAGCTTTAATAATCAAGTTAATAATACTTACAGCCATCTTGTCTACAAATCCACTGTACACAATTGACTCGAGAAGTGTGGCCATTCAGGTTGGTAACAACTACCCTTTTCTTAAAAGAAAACAGCAATCAGTAAATTTATCCTACAGAGGAATTAACAAACTAATAAAATCAGACTTCTGTGTTTTGACAGTAATAAGATCAGAGTTACAACAACATAGTTGTCTCCCTCAACTGGTTAAACTTTTAACTGTGGCTCAACTCTTTTACTTACTTTACTCTAGATCATTTCTGCTTTTCAACACTCTCCACATTCCTAGTGTCTTGTGTTCTCATTACACTGAGCTCTCAGGTTCGCATCTCCCTAGTTCAGTTTACTCTTCCATGATGTCACATACTTCTTCTCACCTTGACACTCTTAAGCTACACAAGCATTGTTTTCCTTGTGTTCCACAGGCTTTTGGGACTACTTTTACCACGCCTGCATGAATTTGGGAGTTTCATTAACAAAAACTCCTTTGACCATGGAATTCATAATTAGCATATACAAATGCATGGTTCACTTTCCATGCCATGGCTGATCAGGTGGCAAGTTCTTCAGCCTTAGTGAAACAAGGTCTCGAAGCCACAACTACTAAGGCCTTCTTACATATCCCTGATAGAGATCCCTGCAAGGCAAATCAGGGTTCCCCCTCAACCTCAGCCCACTGCTTTTACCAAATCATGCCACACTTTAGCATCCTTCCTTCACTCACTACTGAAGATTTTAATTCTAAAACTAGTACAATTTGCCAGGCATGGTGGCACACGCCTGTAATCCCAGCACTTCAGGAGGCTGAAGCAGGAGGATCACGAATTTGAGGCCATCCTGGGCCACAAAGTGAGCCTAGGTCAGCCTGAACTACATAAGAAGACCCTGTCTCAAAAAGCAAAACAAGGGGCTGGGGCTATAGCTCAGGGGCACAGTGCCTGCCTAGCAAGCATGAGATCATGAGTTTGATTACTGGTAAAAAAACAAAAACAAAAACAAAAACAAAAACTACTGCTTCTTTACAGCTCCTCTTTTGTCAATTGTACCAGCTTTATGTCTGCTTATATAACAGCTTTAACTCTCACAGCGAGGAAAAAGGCATGCAGAAACAAATATATATAACTAATATATTTCGTGCATGAGTTGAGGTTGGGAAACAATTTACTATATTCCTTTCTTTCTCCCACTAGATCAAATTCCTTACTAGGAAGGGGTAAATACACATTATCTTGTGCCATCATCATCTAGTACATAGAATGCTAGTACATTAAGGGTTCGCAAAGCATGCTAACTAAATAAGCATAATTTGCAAAACTTCATTTTAGCATTTAACCTGCTCTTATTCCTCTGCCTAGTTAAACATCCAACCAATAAATATTTAACAAAAAAGTACTTTTTAATATGTTTAAATCCCTTAACATGGCCATTAAATCACCATAAAAATGTGATGGACGGTATGGAAATAAATCTATTGAAATGATGCACAAAGATGCGTTTCCATGACTGAATCAATACTGGGTTGATAGTAACTACAAAGTACTTCCTTGGTTTTATGTGCTTTCTCTTGCTACTTAAGAATCATGCCAATTAACAAGAAACAAAAACCAGAAATGATAAACTAACTCAAGGTACAGGAAAGTGAATAAAAAAATTTTATATAGAAATGTAACTCTGCAAAGGATAACAGAATTTTACAAATTAATAAAACAGTAAAATAAGACACATAGACATCTCCTGTCCTGCTTTTTAATTTTCTACATTTCATTTTTTTAAAAGGAGAAATTTCACTTGGTTCATGTCTGCATTTCATCTTTTGTACTTTTATGTTGAGATGCAAGAATAACTTTATCATCTTAATCAACCAGGAAAATGGTATGACAGCAAAACATGGGTAGCATGCAAAACTACTCACTTGGAAGTCTGATACGGAGAGGCAAGTTTTTTAAAACCTCACAAACTCAGGGAATGGTTAACTTCTGCCTAACAATCAGTGCTTAGGATCCCTATTCCCTATGAATCTTTGCCCAAGTGGTGCATTCTCCTAGCTAAAATATCGATAATATCTCTTTGAAATTCAGTATCACACAAGTTAATTAACCAACACTGAGCGAAATACAGAGCTGAGATTGCACCTGTGGGACGATGGTTTTAATTCATACCTAAATTTCAATTATTTTAAAACTCAAATTGATTCTTAAATAGTACTACAGCTCGTGGGACGGCTTCTGATAAGGATCTCCTCTCCGGTGTCAGCGCGGGGCTCACACAGCACGGGCAGGACACGGGCGACGGAGAGCCTGGACGGACACCAGCGCCCACGGGGGACTCCCTGCAAGGCCTCCTTCCCGGGCAGACTACACTACCACGCGGTGTCCTGGCTCTGGAGGGCAATTTATCGTCCAGCCCCAGGGGTGCCTAACAGGTTCGGCCACGGAAACACAGGGCATAGGACATCCAGCTGTCCTTTTACCTGAGGGTCATAGAGAACCACCGAGCAGGACGTGCCAAAGGCCAGAAGTCCTCCGGGCCCAGGGCTCCAGCTCACGGCTCCCCGTACCCGGTTCGGGCAGCAAAACACGTGAGCAGCCTCTAGCACAGGCACCACCATGACGCCAGCTGGTCAGCACCCCAGATCGCCGCGCGCACTTCCGCCCGGAGAGCGGAACTACTCCCACCGCAGTCTCGCGGGCGGCGGCAGCCGG